AAAAAGGTTGGGGACCACTGATCTAAGCAACAATGGTAGTTCTCCTGACAGATAGTTCACAGTTTGATAACTGCATGCACAGAGATATGTGTCTTGAAACAAATACAGGAACCTGCACTTTAGTCTGAATACTCCTACTGGGTTAATGGTAGTTGCTTCCCTGTAACCCTCCTACATTCAGTGGGGTGAAAGTTCAACTTCCAGTGCACCACCTACCACTGACATTGTGGGGATATTTTAGAGACTAGAAGCCATAGGTCAGGGGTGAGATGCCATAAATGGTACCCATCTTATGAGACATGGTTGGTAGGTAGGCAGACTAATTACAACACCCCTGTGACCTAACCTCTGACCCTTGTCATGCGATCTTGAGAGTGGAGCCTCTGAACACGGGGGTGTGCTTAAATTTGGAAGCTCCTTTCTCCTGTTCATTTTATCCTCTGATATATTTAAACTGCTGACATCATTTTGTGCTTGAGCTCTTGATGGCCATAATTTGGGTGTGAAATGGAAAGGAGAATATGTGAATCCTGTATTAGTTGTATGAAAATGGCTTAGTAGTAGGCTGTTGTGGACAAGCTGTGTAAGGAGGACTCCAGAGGGATTCAATGGCCTATTCAACGCATTACAGCCCCTCTCTCATCCATGGTCAAACAGCAGTTTGGGGGTCTGACCTTTGAACTCCATGACCTGCATGACCCCGCATGACCAAAATCCTCACTTTTGCTCACGAAGGTGCTTATTGTTCTAGAATGAACGGCTGTAAGGTTTCCAACATTGTTTAGAAAATCATTGCATGAAGGAAGCCATGAGGCAGGCATGATTGGATATTTGACAGCTGAGTCTTGCCAGGCACCGACCTTGTGTGACATTCCAGAAATGCAGTCATGTCTAACTCCTGAATGGTCAGTGGCAGGAATATTACAGATCACATGACAACATAATATCTTGTGTGGACAAAAAACATATGTTTCAAAATGTACAATTTATGTACTTTGCATATGAACACATTTACACAAGCTTTAACACAATGTTATACCTGTTAGAAGCTTTGTAAATGCTAGTTTACTATACTGTATGTTTTTGGTAGAACATACACCATATAAAAAAAAACCATGCTTGAAATAATAAGTTGATGAAGTGTTAAGTCAACTACCAAAAAAAAAATTATGGCCGCTAGTTGTACTAAATGTGTTTTGAATCAACTACAGTATCAAGCAAAAATGTAATTTCTGCTGTTTCCGGTTCCTTTAATGACATAAT